CACCTGCTGCCCGGCAGGATATCACCCTGATATAGGTGCGCTCCTCAGAGGTGAAAACCGTATGGTAGTAGGTGACTTTAATGCGCACCACGATCTTTGGCACTCAAGCCTGTCAAACGATCGAAGGGGAACAGACTTGGCTGAGCAGATACGACGATTCANCCTAAGAGGTGAAAACCGTATGGCAGTAGGTGACTTTGATGCGCACCACGATCTTTGGCACTCAAGATTGTCAAACGATCGAAGGGGAACAAACTTGGCTGAGCAGATACGACGATTCACCATTCTGCACAATGAACGACGACGCACCCACCAGGATTATGGGCAGCTGCTGCAGCTCGCCAGACATAACAATAGTCAGCGCTGGTCTGATAAACAGCGTATCATGGCGACCTATGCTGACTTTGGCATCAGACCATCTGCCCATAGTCATCTCGATCGATAAACCAACCGACTTTGCTTCCGCGGAGCACCGAACATATATCAACTTTTCTAAAGCTGATTGGAAAGGCTTCGCGGAATTTACTGAGAGCACCTTCGCTGCGCTCCCCACACCAACCGACGTCCGTCCACCTTGGTGAACGTAAGTTCCGCAGGGTTGTCACTACTGCTGCCACTCGCTTCGTACCGGCAGGATGCATTACGGCCCCACGTCCAAACTTCGGATTCGGCAACTAGTGAACGTACATAAGCGGAAGAAGTGGGAAGAGCATCTGAAGACCTGTAACTTCACCTCTGGTGTGAGTAAGCTTTGGTCAACCGTGAGGTCACTGTCCAATCCGACGAAGCACGACGACAGAGTCGAAATTTCTTTCGGCGACCATGCTTCGTCGGACCCGGAGCGATGCGCGAGCTATTTTAGCCGGCAGTTCATACTGCATCCTCCGGCGAACAAAGCCAAGCGTCGAGTGACCAGAAGGCTGCACAAACTCCCAACAACTTGTGCCCCCTTGCTTTCACTAGCGATGAAGTTCAGGTGGCCATCGAGAAGGCGAAAGCCTCCAAAGCCATGGGTCCCGAAGGAATATGCATGTTGATGCTGGAAAATTTGGGTCCTGCGGGAGTAGCGTACCTAACGGAGGTTATAACTATGTCAATGGTCCCTCTCATCATCCTAGACGTCTGGAAGGTGGGGAGAGTGGTCCCACTGCTCAAGCCGGGGAAACCAGCCAACAAAGGAGAATCTTATCGCCCGATAACACTCCTTTCCCCGGTAGCGAAAACACTAGAGGCTTTGCTCCTCCCGTATTTCACGAACCACCTGACCTCAGTGAAGCATCAGCATGGTTTCCGTAAAGTGCACAGTACAACAACAGCACTTAACGCCATAAACACTCAGATAAAACGTGGCCGTAACCGCAACCGTCCCTGTGAGAGAACGATTCTAGTAGCGTTGGACTTGTCAAAGGCGTTTGACACCGTCTGCCATTCCACGCTACTAGAAGATATAGAGGCCTCCTCTCTCCCACAGAGGCTCAAACGGTGGTCGGCGAATTATCTGAGTGGTCGGCCACGTCGTCGGTAATGTTTAGAGACAAATCGAGCAAACTCAGAAAAATAAAACAGGGGGTTCCACAGGGTGGTGCCCTTCCCCACTACTGTTTAACTTTTACATTTCAAAGCTCCCTCAACCACCAGAGGGAGTATCGATTGTCTCTTACGCCGGCGATTGCTCGACCATGGCGACTGGGAATGGAATCGATGACCTGTGTTCGAAAGTAAACGGGTATCTCTCCGATCTTTCTCGCTTCTTCACTGCAAAGTGTCTAGCCCTCTCCCCTACGAAATCCTCTGCGACCTTGTTCACAACCTGGACGAAGGAGGTCAGGCTACTGCTGGGAATTCACGTCGATGATACACCAATTCCGTCGGCGAATAACCCCGAAATACTCGGAGTAACCTTCGACAGCCTGCTCTCCTTCTCTACGCACGCAACCGCTATTGTCAACAAAGTACAGAGCCGCAACAAGGTCCTCAAGTCGCTAGCCGGCAGTACTTGGGGCAAAGACAAAGAAACGTTGCTGGCAACATACAAGGTAATAGGCCGGCCGGTTTAAAATTACGCAGCACCAGTGTGGTCGCCGGGAACTAGTAGGACGCAGTGGATGAAGCTACAGACGACACAAAACACTGCACTTAGGACAGCGACTGGATGCCTTCTGATGTCGCCAGAATACCACCTACACGACGAGGCGAAAATGCTCCCTGTTAAGGAGCATAACAAAATGCTCTGCAAGCAGTTTCTGGTTGGGAGCCACAGACGTGGTCACCCAAATAGACAACTGCTTGCAGAAGAGCCCTCGCCCAGGCACGTCAGGAGGCATCTCTACGAACGGACGGACGAAGCACAGAGGTTCATTAAGCAGCCTCTGGACCCTTCAGCATATCGACAGGCCCTGAACGGCATTTACAGGAAGTCAGTCTCGAGTTATGTAGACTCCAGACCTGTGAATGCCGTTCTAAGCACACAACCACCGGACATCGACGAGAGGAGCTTCATCTGCCTCGGGAGACCAGAACTACAATAGCCAAACTTCGCTCTGGCTACTGCAGCAGGTTAAACTCATACCTGAACAGATTAGACGCAGATGTGCCAAATGAGTGTCCGGCATGCGGAGAGACACCCCACGACTCGAAACATCTCTTCGTATGCCCGGAAAACCCGACAACACTAACGCCTTTGTCCCTGTGAACCGACCCCATTGATGCTGCACGCTCCCTGGGTCTTCCGTTAGTGGAGCTTGACGACAACGACTGAGATATTAACCGATCTGGGCGGGGTTTTTGTAGCCGCTATAACAACAACAACAACAACAACGTCATCGGTAACAAGAACCGCTGAGTCTGTTCTGCCTTTTCGAAGTTGGATAAGGAAGCAAAGCGAATAGGTCTGGTGGTAAACTCGGACAAGACGAAGTATCTCCTGTCATCACACAAACAGTCAGCGCATTTGCGCCTTGGCACCCGCGTCACTGTTAACAGTTACAATTTCGAGAAAGTAGAGAATTCCGTTTACTTGGGAACCAGCATTAACACCGAACCCGCTGGTGGTAGCAGAGGAAAGACAAGTGGAGAAGGACTTGGCTTCATTTGACATTTCCAATTGGCGTCAGTTGGCCCAGAAGAGAAACGACTGGCGTGCTTTGTTGAGCCAAAATCGCGTAGGCGGTTACAGCGCCAAATAAGAAGAATAATTTAGATTGGCCTTCTTAAGTGAAGCCATTCTACGAGGCCTACACAAGGGCCCAAAAAAGTGTTTCCTTGCATGCCTTCTAGAAGCGCATTTTCTATTTGCAATTTACGGGAATGTGTAATTTTATATTATTTAAGATTATAAATATAAATGACTTTAAATATGCATTTTAGATTGCAATAAAACATATTTGACATGAACCTTAAATAAATACCTTAAAGTATGATTTTTATTATTATTAAGGGAAAGTAGCGAGATTTTAAAACAATTTTAGGGTGTTTTTTTATGAAACAAATAAAATATGTGACAGTAATGTCCAAGAAGAGTTAAAAAAAGGGGTTCCACAGGGTGGTGTCCTCTACCCCTTACTGTTTAACTTATAAATTTCGAAGCTTCCTTAGCCACCTGAGGGAGTTTCCCTGATCTCATTCCCTGGGAATGGAATTGATGACCTCTGTTCAAAAGCAAACTGCTATCTCTCCGAACTTTCTCGCTTTAGCAAGGAGCGTAACACTCTCCAAAACGACGATAGCACACCAATTTTGACGGTGAATAAGCCTAAAATTTTAGGGTTTTTTGAAAGAACAAAAACATGTGGCATCACTGAGCCCAAGAAGAATTAAAGAAGGTGTTCCAGAGGGTGGTGTCCTCTCCCCTTACTGTTTAACTTCTACATTTCGAAGCTCCCATAGCCACCGGGGGGAATTCCCCATACGCTGAATACAGCTCGATGTTAGTGTCTGGGGATGGAATTGATGACCTCTGTTCAAAAGCAAATGGCTATCTTTCCAAACTCTCTCGCTTCTTCAATGCAAGGAGCCTAACACTCCTCCAGACTTCAACAAGACATTCACGTCGATAACACACCAATTATGACGGTGAATAATCCAAAAATGTTAGGGCTTACCTTTGATAGCATGATCTCCTGGCCTGCGCACACAACCGCAGTTGTTAACAAAGTACAGATACGTATCAAGGTTCTCAAGTCGTTCGCCGGCAGCACTTGGGGCAAAGGCAGAGAAACGTTGCTGGCAACATACAAGGAAATTCGCCAGCTGGTTCTGAACTTTGCTGCGACAAACCGTAATAGGCGGGGCTTAGTAGAGCCGCTACAACCACAACATAACTGAGCCCAGGTTGTTTGATGTTACGTGTAGCAATAACAACCAACGGAAAAATAACATATCTGTGGACTTTTGACAAAACAACTTCTCTCGAGTGAGGTCATTTTCTCTTCAAAGCTGTAATTCATTGAGTTGACGAATGGTATTTTTTTGTTTAGTCATTAATAGGAGTAGTTCAAGATGCTATCTTAATGAAAGGTAAATAAAACTATCAAATAAATTATCAAATACTCTAAATTCCAACCTACAGAAAGCACAGAGAATGTTTTGTCAAAAGTCCACAGATATGTTTGTACATAGAAAATGAAGTCTTAGTCCGCACCTGTTTCAAATTCATTGTCTGCATTAGAATCTTCCTGCTTACAGCATATAGCAGAATCGTCCAAAGTAGAAGCTTCTCTTCCTTCATCTGTAAAAGTAGTTTAATAGAAATCGATAAATGCTTGTACTAAAAACTTTCTTTTCGCCATTTTTTGATAAAGTTAGTATTGTGCGGCCAATTAAATAAATATAAAAATTTTTATTAATACTTATTTGCAACTTACTTTCTGTAAGAGGTTCTTCAGCAAAAGTAGGTTCCGGCTTTTCGTCTTTATTTTTTTCATTGCTACACCCATCCTCCAAAGCTTTGGAAATTTCAGAGTTTCCTAGTGATAAAAGTTTAATTATTATATTTATTCAGAATTGGAAATATTCTTACCCTCGAATGATATCATTGGGATTGCCGTTGCTTCTGTGCTTTCAAATCCATTGTCAAGCATAGACTTTTCTATACCTGAATCATTGTAATCATCTTCTGTTATAAGTATTATAAGCTATATATAGTAAATTAATCGCGTTTCTACTTACCAGTCACATCGTTTCTGCTAAATTTAACTTCCTCGATTTGTTCATATTGCTGATCTGCACAAAAATGTTGTTTTTCTGTTGCTCCCATTAAATCCTCCTTTTCTTGACTGCTTTCGAATCCTAACTCATACTCGTCACGGAACTCTTCGGAGCTGCTGTCCATCAGTGTTAGCTGTGGCATTGGTAAGTGCACGCTAACATGATGACACTGATCGTCCTCTATCAAATCTATACTCTTCGAATGATCATCTTTCGTTGACAAATCGCAAGCGGCATTATCATGGTCATCGATGATTTGCCGCTTACTGTCGTTTGCAGTTTGGTCAACTTCGCTTCTAGGTAAATGTGTATCTGTTTCCGAAAGAGCAGCTGAGCCATCAAAGGAAAACACCATTTTATTTGGTAGAAGAGATTCAGTGTCCATGAAGAGGAAATCAATAGAACACTTATCACTTGAGTCTCCATGTAGTTCATCAACGCGATGCACACACAGCGAAGGATGGTCCCCGGTTTTATTTTCACAACTTTCGCAATCTGTTGATTTAGAAGGTTCATTATCTGCGATTTTGTCTGACTTAGCCCCTTTATCCGAATCTGTTTTGTTATCCTCAGTTAAATTTGCCTCAGGCTGGATAAAGGAGGAGGGATTCCTCACGACTTCACAGTGATTGTGCTCAGCGTTGACAACGTTAACATCGGTGATGTTCGGATATTGTTCTGATAGAGTTTTATTTACTTCAGACTTTAAATTATTCTCTTTTACAGCATCGCACTGATTTTCAATTTGGGTTTCGATATTGCAATCACTTCTGCAATGTGTGTTGTCACTAAGAATTTCACTGAGTTCAAAATCACATATTGGCAATGCATTGTCAGTGTTCTGCACGATAGTGGGAGCTATATCTTAAACATGTTTAGACAGTGTTAGAAATGCTTCTTTTTTTTTTTAATACATAAGAATTTTTGTAACTCACCACAGACTGCTGAAGTAGTGATTTTTATTGTTGTTGACGTAAGCTCCTGGTTGTTGGTTAATTCCATGAATGCATTAATATTGTCCTCAATGTCAATAAGCGGCATGTCCAAACCTGGGCCAAATGAATCATAATCATTGTTATCGAAGACTTGTTCTGTTTCTGCCTCCAAATTTCCGGAAGAAGCGTCATTTTTGGAAGACTCATTTAAATTAGATGATTTCAAAGATAAATCCAGAGGTAAAATATCTTGATTTGCCACATCTATAGAAGTATTACTATAGTCATCAGCTGTTGTGGACTTTTTCGACAAATCCAACAAAACGTCCGATATGTGCGCTGGAGGCGGTAAAACCGAATTGCTTTGAAGGTGGGAATCTTGCACCAAAATAGGTAGATTGGTTGGTGCATCAAGAACTCGCGCGATAACGTTTGTAGTATCACCAACGTTGTCTATATAATTAACCTAAGATTGAAAATGTTAACGTAAAGCGTTTTATATTGCCTTTTAGGAAACCACTTTAAATTAGTTTGTAGTAAAAGTACCTGTTTGGACATGTCCATTTATCTACACAGAAGATAATTTAGCTAGGCCTTCTGAAGTGAAGCCATTCTAAAATGCTTACTAAAGAAGGGCTAAAAAGTGCATCCCTGCTTATCTTATAAAATAGCATTTGAAGTCGCAATAAAACATATTTCATATGAACCTTAAAAAAATACCTTAGTTTGTGCATTTAAAAACAGCTTTAGAAGAATTCCCCCAAAAGGCCGTTCTACTGAGTAACTAAAAACACTAAAGTATAAGGTATTTAGAAGTTGCTAATAGAGTCCGACCGAAGGTAGTATTTATTTTTTCTCTCCCAGCGATAAGTGTCCGAGACCAACAGCAACGGAAACTATATGCAAATAACCCTTTCCCACCAAGCGAGATCACACATCTAGAAAAAATAAAATTACCTGTTCTCTGTTGTGGGTTATTTTTTCTCTTAAATAGAAAGAGTTATTTTGGGGCACTTTCAAAGTGGAGAGGGTTATTTTCGATCTCTGTTTCCAACAGATCGGCTGCAGTCTTGGATACGTGGGGTAGTTTGATAAAAAGTGGAATAAAATCCAAAGTAATAGGGATGTTTTCTTCATTTTCACCACATTTCCTCGAAATTAATCATTCTTCAAAGTGAGATTAAAAAGAAACTTCTCTGATGCCAACAAGACCAGATACATATAAACTTGGATCTTGACGAAAAAATTTGTACCTATTCAAGTGAAGCAGGGTGTATGTATTTATATAATAGTCTTATAGTCTTATTACTTTATACATATATATATATATACATTTAAAAATATATATGTACAGTGCCGAACAGAAGTATTGGCACAGTGAATTTTTCGTTCAAAGTTGCTAGAAAATCGCTTTGATTTTTGGCAATTTTTTTAGTGGTGTTGCTCATTTTCTCCATACAAAAAATAATTGCCGAATATACTTTGTATGGAAGAACTTGCGTGAAAAAAAATTACCAAAAATCAACGCCATTTTCTAGCGACTTCAAACTTGCACTTTGTTATACTAAATTTGAATGGGCTATAAAACTGCATACTTAGAATTTTTCTAAAAAAATCGGAATAGAAAGTTGCAAATTAGTGTGCAAATTTAATGAATTTTCCTAAGTTTTGCACAAAGTTTAGAGATTTTATTATTATGTTTTCTGGCGTAGAATCAACAATATTTTTTATAAAAAATTATCGAAAATAAATTAGAATAAAAAACTTTGCATGTATTGCGAAAAATTCACTGTGCCAATACTTCTGTTCGGCACTGTATATAAATGGGACGTTTCACATCAACCGGCCCACAGCTCTGTCCAAAATTCTAAGCAACTAAAGTAAACATACATGGGGTGTTCACAACGGTGTCGTAAGTGTAGTATTGTTGTATGTCGTAAACTTTAAAAGGCTAAAAATATATATAGGGGGCTTGCAAGGGTCTACAAGTCATATTATGAATTTTCACAGTGCTACAAAAAAGTTGGTTGAGGTTTAAAGTCCACTAAACATTTATTTAAGCTTTTAAACTTTACGACACCGTTGTGAATACCCCAATAGTAAGTCAAAATACTCGTAAGCTAATACCGTTTCGATTGCAAAGTGGAATAATTTAAAACCCAAAGTGGCGGCATTACTGCGCTAGGCAAATATATTTATTAATTTCCGAGTCCGACCGATTAATCGGCATCGGCTAGTATCGAAACAAAATAGAGCATCGCCATCGGCATCGGCCTTTTTTCGCCGATTCCTTGCCGATTATTTGGAATTTCTTTTCACAAAAATTAATTGTTTTTTTTGGTTGAAGGTGTTTCGCGTTTTTTCCATACACAAGTATGTTCGACAATCTTCTTTTATATAGAGGACACTGCCGGCAAAAAAAATTGCCAAAAATTAACGGGATTTTATAGCAGCTTGAAACTTTCACTTCATTATACTAGAATTAAATGGTCTATAAAACTGCATACCAAAATTCTGATTAGAGATTGAAATTTTGGTGAAAATAAGCAGAACTTTTTTAATTTTTGTACAATCTTTGAAATCGGAATAGACGTTTATAAAAAAACTAGCAGCCCGGCGAACTTCGTCCCGCCCAAATTATTTTTTTTATTGAAACATTTGATCTAACGTTTTCGCCAGCAATTCACGTTCACGTTTGGTTTTGTGGTCGACGGAAGGCATATCTCCTCTATTGCAGTCTTAAATAACCTGACGAAAGCGTTATACCGGGAAGAAGTCCTTGCGGCTCGATGGTGAATCGTCCTGGAATCTGTATATTATAGTTGGTGGCAATTTCCAAACTGGTGAGTATCATTGGTCCACATTCTGTTTAAGTCACCGTAAAGCAAGCACCGCAATGGTTCGGATGGTTGATTTAACGGGGGTAATTTGACTTTGATCCTTGGTGCCTCCGAATTGACGATTTTTGGCAATAACTCGGCTCCAGCGCCACTTAAAAAAACTATCACGCATTCGTTATACGGAGAAAATGCGCAACATCATCAGCGAAAAAGTTCTCAAACATCAACGGTAACTTATAGCCATTTCAAACTTGCACTTTATGATACTGAAATTGAGTGAACTACAAAACTGCATACTCAAAATTAGGTAGCATTTAATGCAAAATGAACTATATTTCTATAAAAAATTAACAAAAAAATGTATTATGAAAAAACAAAAAACAAAAACAGTACAGCCGTTCGCGAGATCACCTCTTATAAAAAGAAGGAGCTTCTCTTTATATAATTAGTGTAGGTAACACAGGGCAACACCGATTTTGATGCGGCAAATGTTAAAGCTGTTTTTGGTAAGATTTTTTTGTGCTGATTACGAATCCGTAAGTTTCCATCAGCTCCAGATTTTGAGAAAAACGTGGTGAAAGTGTCAAAAAATCGCGTTTTTTGCAATATTTGAGAAGCTCTAGCAAGGAAACAATTACTTTTTATCGTCCACCCAATAAAAAAAATATACTGGAAAATTATGCAATTGAAAAAAAAGTGTGTAAAAATCACTGTTAGCTGTTCATCAAACGACTATAGGTCAAGGTGCAGGAATGGTATTTTGAGGGATTGAAGTCAGAAGTCCAAGCTTTAAGCCTAAGTGGAAGGTTCTATCACCCTTTGTTTCTTTGCTAGAGCTTATCAAATATTGCAAAAAAAGCGATTTTTTGACATTTTGACCTCGTTTTTCTTAAAATCTTGAGCTGATGGAAACTTTATGCTTACCGATTCGTAATCAGCACAAAAAAATTGTCAACATTTGCTGCATAAAATTTTTCTCCAATACCCGTAAAACAATAGGGGTATTCTCTGAGTCTTGCAAAGCCCTTGCATGGTGCACAGATTGCACGGATTGCACGGTAAAAACCGGTTTTCGTATGGGACAGCTTTGCAAACCGTGCAATCCGTGCACCGTGCAAGGGCTTTGCAAGACTCAGAGAATACCCCTAATGACTCAATTCTATTCTACGCATATCTATAATACGGTTATCCAATTTCAAGAAAATCGGACCATAAATAAGACTTTTTCGAATAGATCGGTCGGTCCCTGGTCCACTTAACGGAAAAATGGATCCTGTATGCTAATATAGCCAAAAGGCTACCTACGTACCAAATTTCAAGCAAATCGGACATAACTAAGATTTTTTCGAACAGATTGGTCCCTGGCCCACATATCAGAAAAAGTATCCTAAATGCTAATCCAGGCAATAAGCTACCTACGTGCCAAAGTTCAAGCAAATCGGACCATAAATAACTTTTTCGAATAGATCGGTCCCTGGCCCCTTAACGGAAAAAACTGATCCTATATGCTAATCTAGGCAAAAGGCTACCTACTAGGGATGTTAATTTTTTCGATTTTTGCGATCCCGGGATTTTCGGGACATCGTTCATACAATCCCAGGTTTAGATATTCATTATTTTCTAACAACTTAACATAAAAAATTGCATCAATATAGTTTGAGAAGCTGTCCTACAATAGTGATGATGATACGAGTACATAAGAGTAAATACTCGAATACCTCTACCAAGTACCGAGTATTTTTTGTACTTCGATACATGTGGCCAAGTACTTGGTGGGTATCGAGTGCATTGTGCAAGAATTTACTCGGTCGAAAAATTTATGCAACTCTAGTCAAATTAGTAAAGTTGCCTCAAGTTGCATATATGATGTTTGACACGTAAAATTGTGTTCGATTTCTAGCATGTATGTAACCCCGCCGCATCCCATGTGCTGAAGCTTTATGGTATTTTATACAACAATAGCCTGCGTTACGCAGGAAAAATACGTATATACACTGAGGAAAAAAACGCGTTGTAAAAATTAAAATTTTTTATTTGATTACCGTTTAAAAATGTTCGTATTTAAATCAAGTGAAAAGTGTTCAAAATTGAATATTGCCATTATATACATACACTACGTATAATGGAAATATTCAATTCAAATACACCCGTATTAAAATGAAGCATTTTTCACAGCACGGATGGCCTTTTGCACGTCTCAGATGCTTTGTCATATGTAATTAAGAAAGTACGCTGCTGCAGTAAGGCGGCCAATTTTCCGTAAAGGACTAGTACTTCACTGGTTAAAATTTGACTGGTCGGAATTGGACATTTGCTTGCATCGAAAATGTCAGCCTTCGAGCAGTCCCCAAGGAACCGGCCTAGAGATAGACGAAAAGTGCAGTTTGGCAATGACAGGGTGGTGTTGTCTTGCAATTCAATAAAAAAAAAATTTAAAGAACACCACCGTGTAAATGTCCCAATCGCTTAGTCTGGCCTTGATGCAAAGTGACCATTTGAACACACATTTACATGCTTGCCACTATTTGTTAGCTTTCAGGAGGGTCCGGGTTCAAATGCCGTCAGAAGCAACATGGTTATAAAATGATTAAATTTTTTTTTTTGTGGTTCGGAATTATGAAAAAGCATCTGCGAAGTGCAGAACGCAATCTTACTCCAACGAAAAAAATCTCCAAAACGGGACTAGTCCCGGACACGCCAATGCTAAAAATGGCAGTTGAAACCATTGGCAGGGGAATTGTGAGGGACTATCTGAGGGCTAGCAGAGGGTGAGTCTGAATTGTTGCAGGGTATATGTATACA